CACGCCCACACCCACACCCACCCACCCACGCCCACACCCACACCCACACCCACACCCAGTCGAACGATCACAAGCGCATGTAAACATAAAATAGAAACGTTTCTGATACAAGGATGATCACTTTTTGAGTTTAAAGTAAATAATCGAACAATTTTACAAGAACGATTCGATTTAAATTATGAGTCTGCTTCAGAAGAAATTCATGAATATGTAATTTATATTAGTATTGAACAAGATAAGACAAACAGTTAGAAAAAAAAACAAATTTTAGATTGCTATTTAGAGTTTTTACATTAAGAATTTCACCTTCTTTGGTTAGATAAATGAGAACTATGTCAAGATCAAGATAGAGACTTATATTATTTTGATTTCAATAACTACCAATAAACGATCATGAGATCATCCAATATGATAGTTTAGATATAAAGCAACTGTCATTGAAAAATGACATGTTGTTTTTTTTTCGAATATCTATAATACTCTTTAATCGTACAACTCATCATTTTTTTTTTAAAGATAAATATAATTATTACCAAAAACTCCATTGAATACTTCTTATAAATGTACATATTAAATAGTTCAAAAGTATAAAATAGTTTATACTTTTTATTTATTTTGATGAGACATTGACTATGAATTTTCTTTCTAGTTCGCCCATACTTAAACATCTCATCGAAATTGCATCAAAAAATAAAATTTCAAGAATCAAATGATTCTAATTTTCATTCAAGTTTATTAATATGACTTTAGAGTATGATAGTCTCGTAAACAGTTCGGAATGCCTAAGCCTACATTGCAACCTGAATATTCGTATCTAGTAGGAGATTGTTTTTTTTTGAATGTAACATGCTTCTGTTTAAAAGAAAGACTGCCGTATATACGATGTACCACACGTCCTGAAAGGATTATACTGTACTCAATGGACAAATTAAATTATAGTTCGAAAATTAATTAATTTTTTTCATCCTTCAAATGCTGATTAACTTAAACATTCAATTCCATGAGTCACTACTAGGCTATTATATATACTTTACTTATATTAGTCTTTTTTTTTTTTTATAAATATAGATATATAACGTTACACAACAAAACTATTTGATATTTCCAATCAATAATGATGAACATTTCAAAATTTGAAAATTTACCTAATGAATTAATAATTGAATGTTTGGAATATTTATATATATTTGATACTCTTCATTCACTCAATGGATTAAATGATCGTTTGGACAAACTTATTCGAACTGTACCATTAAATCTTAATTTTATTCTTGTTAATAAAAAAAGATTAGAACATTTTTGTCAACATACATTATTATATCCAGAAATAAGGGAACAAATTTATTCACTACATTTATCGAATGAAAATCGATGTGATCAAATCGAAACATTTTTAGCTCATATATCACTCAATACATTAAACAATTTACATACATTAATTTTAACTCATATTGAAAAAGAAAATCTTATTCAATTAAAATCAATGTTATCATTATCAATAAATTTATGTTATTTTAAATTGATCTCATCTCAAATTGATGAAGATGAATTAATAGCTGTTCTACCATTATCAAAATTAGAAAAATTATCAATTCTATCATTAAGATCATTTTTATTATATATTCAACAACCAACTAAAATTAAATATTTAACATTATTTAATTGTTCTTTAGAACAAATAATATGTAAATTATTTCCGTATGTTCCTTTTTTAAAATATCTGAATATTAGTTATGTATCTAAATATAATCGATCAATAAAAGATATTGATATTATTAATAAATATAAATGTATTAATTTACAAACATTAATTATAGGAGAGTTTAAATATAACTTTGAAGATTTTGTTATCTTAGTTCAACATATACCAAATTTAAAAAATTTAACAATATCAACAAATTATAATAAAACAATGATTAATGCATTAAATTGGGAACATTTAATTGAATCTTCATTACTATATTTAAATATTTTTAAATTTAAATTTTCCTTTAAAAAAATATATAATAATGAAACATATTTCGAACAAATGATGTTTTTTCAACGTAAATTTTGGATTGAACAACATCATTGGTATACACAATTAATATCAAATCAATATTCAATATGCATATACACAATACCTTATTTGTCAAATACATTTAAATTAGAATCGGATACTGTTATACATTATAATACAATTTTTACAATGTCAAATTTATTTGATTATATAACTCATTTAACATTAACTGTTCAATCTATAAATGAAAAATATCAATTTTATTTTCCAAATATTATTTCATTAACACTTATTAATTCAAATGATGTGTTAAATAATTTTTCTGAACATATTGATTTTATTCAATATTTAAAAATGATTATTAATTTATCAAATTTAAAACATTTAGATATTTCAAAATATAAAAAAATTATTTTATCAGGTAATTTATTAGCTATCATGAAGGAAACACCAATGTTAAATTCATTAAAGATTAATTCCATCGATTTAATGTTATTATATAATAATGAAGAATTGTGTGAATATTTGATAATGATGATTAAAAAATTAAATATACATAAATATAATCTTTGTTCATTAAAAACATTTGAAGAACTAATGATCTTTCATACAGTATTTCAACATATTACTAGTCTTCAATGTAACATCAATAGTTCAGAACAATTCTCTTTTATCTTAGAACGATTCCCATCTTTATCTACTTTATGTATTTATATGTCGTCATCATGTTATAATTTTTATGCTTATAATTATCTTGAACAATTATCATCTGAATGGCGTATCAAGTATCGTACTAAACAGGCTTATAAAAATGTAAATGAAATTTCTATATGGATTAATTGAAGTATCATGTATATATATATATTTCATTTGTTTAATTTATTTTGTTTAATTTGAAATTAAAATATTCTTGAAATACATGTTTAGCAAGAAATAATTTCTTACTAATAAAGAACTTCTACTTATATGTATGAATATAAATAAAAACTTCTGATTATTGAAATTTTAATTTTTTTTGAAAGATATTTCGATCTTTTTTTTTGTGTCATAAAGTTCTTTACAGCAAAATATTCGAGTATATCAATTGTAATAAACAAATTGTAAAGTGTATGTTATAAATATTATTTGAAAATTAAAAAAGATTTTATGAATAAAATTGATCGAACTATTTACAAAATTTTCAAGAAAAAAAAACGTTATGTGAAATAATTTATAATAATAAATTAAATACTATCGAGAAAGTTTTATATCTTATCATCCTGAATTTGGTAATAATTCTTCCTTTTGTTTGATGATATTATTTATCAATATTTCGCATAATTTTTGTTTTAATGTTCTATTGAATTCAGATTTTAATTAATGATTCATATTTTGAAATCTGTATCTTTACTATACCATTAGACTTGTATTCCATTGAATGAATTTTCTGATTTTTTTCTATTCTCATAGTAATGTATATTTCTTTAAAAAAGAAAATTTATATCTTTACGAAAGAACCAGTCAGATTTATCAAGAAAAACATAGGTGAAATAAACATTATATTTTTAGATGAAATAATGTACTAAAAATATTTCTCATTTTTTTTCTTGAAATTAGATAGACCTTCATAATAAATTCACTTGCAAATTATAAAGCATATAGGAAAAAACATAAACATACATGGTTTGTTAAAACATAGGCTTGATTATTGAAAACATAGAAGATAAGATATTACGTGAACAGACAAAGAAATGAAACCAAAAAAATAAATTAGAAATAATGATTATCATATGTGTTCAGTATTTAGAAAATATATGCTTCGATAATGAGTGCATTTCAACGGTGTAATTTTGAATATGATTTTTTAAGGTGTTTGCCGAATCGGTAAAGAGATTATGAATATGTGATTGAGTGTTGAGCTTCTTCTCATCTACACTAATTTTTATTTACGTATGTTGTAATCATTTGAAACATGTGTAAAATAAAAAGAAAATTTTTTCTATATATCAATTTTCGATTTCTATTAACTTCGATTCTTAAAGATATAATAATCTAATTTTGTTTGATTATGTTCATGATTTAGTGAATTTCAACATGCATCATCAAGTTTATATTCATGAGAAATGTTAATCATTCAGAAAGAAATATTAGACAATATTTATTCTATTTGCTATGTTGAGAAAAATAAATATTTCTCAGTCAAAATGTTAATGTAAAACTTATCTATTAATGATTTTAGTTTATATTCATTCGAAAGTGAATCATATGTTTATATACACACATGATAAAAGTATCTAGAAGTCTAACTTTCATTTTTAAAAAGTACTTTTAATTTCATACTTTTTATAAATAATAAACACTTGTGTAATAGACAAAAATCTTATGTTAGCTACTTTGGGTGTGGGTGTGAGCGTGGGAGTGTGGTGTGCATCTGATTATTACATCTACACCCACACCCGAAATAAATTATCAGGTAATAAAAGCATGAGATAGAAAAAACTGAACTCGTCTTTTACCAAAAGATAATCCCGTTTTCGCAATGCCGAAATTTGGTCGCTCAGATTTTTACCCATTTTGAAAACAAAAAATGCAACTATAAAATAAGTGGTCCTTTATAAATTGTAGAGCTTTTCACGCTGCATCTTGTGGTATATTTTTGTTTTTCTAATACAACGTATTAAGTAATGATACAGTGAAATGCAAAAGTATTCCACTCACTATGATCTAATGTTACCAGCTAGTTTGCAACAAAAAATAGTTCTTATCGAAATTTTATTATTATGATATTAGTTGTTATATGATCAGATGGCATAGAAAAATGGAGCATTCTTGAAGGTGTGGGTGTGGGTGTTGATCTTCTGTTTAGTTACACACATACCCTAAATCCGATCGAGCTGAAATTTTTTCTACAGATAGTAGAGACACTTTAGGAGAACTACTTTTTTTTTGTGTTGAAAAATATTGTACCGCTGAGTTTTGGCAGGTCTTACAAGACAAGCACTATTCAAAAAAATATGAGTTTTTAGGCTGCTCTTCGTATTTTGGCATTTTTATTCGAACGGTACGAGATAGAAAGAAACCAAAAAAAGTAGTCCTCATAAAGTGTCTCTACTATCTGTAGAAAAAAATTTCAGTCCAATCGGATTTACTGTGCCTGAGAAATGGGGGCGATTCGGGGGTCGATTTTTAACCATTGCGATCCCAATATCTCCTAGAAAGAAGCATTTGAAAATTTTGAGTCTATGACAACTTTTACTCTACACATCGAGATCTGTCAACTGTGAAAGTTTCAAATTTTTCTGGTGAGCCGCTCTCGAGAAACCTCGGAAAGAGAGGGGTCTCCTTAACGCGTCCCTGCTCGTCAAATGATCGATTCAATCGTTTTAAAAAAATGTAAAATATCTAAATAAAAACCTAGTTTTTAATATTTTATTATTTATCTGAGAATCCTGAATGGAAATATTTTTTTATGAATCGCTGGAAAATATTCTACTTACTAATTGTTGGAAATTCGCGAATTATTCAATGCCTTTACATCCCCATGATCAGAAAAAGAAATAATAAAATTTTATATTCTCTGTAAAAAAATACAAACAAAATACTCGCTAACAGTATATAAAATTTCTTCAATCAAATTTAATCAATCATTCAATGTCCCTATTATTCAGAAAAATTTACAACAAAAATTTATATTCATTGCAGAAAAAAAGAAATACGTACTCAGCGTATAAACATATATATGCTACCATATCTAACTACCTGCACGTGTGTTGTTAATGTGAGAGAGTTTATGAAAAATATGCTTTTACTTTTTTTTCATATGTTAAATAAAGTTAGCATTCGTTCTGTGCGAGACGAAAAAAAACGTAACGTACAGGTTGGTTTGTCTGACTACTTGCTTGTTTCACTGAAGTGGAACAAAAGCAATCTATGCATCAGTGATCAATATTATAAAAGAAGGTGACAAGTGAATTTCTCTTCATATTTTTTTAATTTTTTTGCATTCATTTGAATTTATAGTTAGTATATTCACTCGTTCGTTTTCGACTCCAACTATCTTTGAGCATTATTTAAAGGTAACTATCAATATACTATTTTCATTTAGTCTGCACTATTTAGATGATATCTGTTCATGTCAGAGGTCGTTGTCATGATGAATAGCGTAAATCGAATTCCTGTTTTATTTTCGTTCTTGTGAGTAAGCAAGAAGACCAACAGCTTACTAACAAGTCGAGAATACAGAAGGTGCCTCCTATTCTTTGAAACTTTTTTGCACAATCCATTTTCATGATTTGAATATTGTGTTCTACGTATTGTACACATAAGTTACCTACAAACACGCTGATCGATTCTTACGTGAAGCTTCAGTTCATGTATCAGAATCGACTGCAACTTCGTCTTAGATATTCTTTGCACATAAGTGATGAAGTAAAATACAGAAGTTTTTTCTCTGCAATATAATTTAAATAGAAGTAGATTCAGTAGATCAGAATTGCTAGATGCTCTAAAACGACACTCAATACGTTGTATATTTGACACAACTCGATCAGGCAATTATTGTGATAATAATATGACGTAGATTAAACAAAGCTTTTTCATTTGCAGTCCGTAATTGCACTAAAATCTGGAATGCATAGAAGAGATTAAAGTTAGAACCACCATTCCTAATGCTATTTTAACTAAAACATGATACAGCTGGAGCCAGTCCAATTTCTTGAAGATCGGTACTAGTGCTAGTCTGAATAGATCAGACCTGACTGAACCAGTCGATCTGACATCTGAGACGATACCGCTTCTGGTCATGGCTGGTAGCGATTCTCTTTTAGGACAATGTTATTTGACATGGCTAGATTACAAGGAAAGCTTGTTAGTGCAGCTCCTTTGGGACTGAAATGTGAAATTCACGTATCTTCTCTAGTTTGCAGTGACGTAGCCAATGAAGGGGTAAATGAGCAATTATCCATTTCATTTTTATGAGTAAGTTTTACCCATTGGAGTTTTACTTGTTTAGAATGGTTTATTTATTTTTGCATTAGATATTAACTCTATTTTTATGCTTTCGTCTAAATCATACATGCATTTTTTGCTTGTTCTTTTTGTGAACAATTAAGAAAAAAAGAAGAAAAGAATTGCTTCTGGTATTTTAATCAGGATTACCAGATGAAAAACTTGAAAATCAGAAATTCTTGTTTTCCAAACCAGAAAGAGTAACTTTTTGCAAACCAATGACTATCATGTTAACATACTTGTACAAAAGACTTCGCTTCTTTTGTTTATCGACTCATACTTTATTTCCAAAAGTATTTCATAGTAAAGAAAGACAACACAAACATTATATAGTTCAGAGTAAAAGATCCTGTACTGTAAACTAAGGAGATTGATCATAGTCAGATCAAATGAATGCTCTCACTGTCAAACCAACTAATTAAAAATATGAGCTGCCAATAGCGTACACGGACTGAAATATTCGAATTTCAAGAAATTTACAGTTTGTTATATGCCCACGCTACGAAATTTCATCAACATTTAGTTTTCTTTTTTCGTCATGGTTGGATGGAGCACGATCATTTACATAAGAAAAAACAATATCACGCACATTAAAAAGCAAATTCAACGAAGTCTAGAACAACATTTTTTTAATTATAAGGGTAATAAACAAAAAATTCTAATTGCTGCCAAATTGCTTTTGATTGTGTGTGATATTGTTTCTCCTTATGTAAATAGTCGTGTTTCATCCAGTCATGACAAAAAAAGAAAACTAAGTGTTGATGAAATTTCGTAGCGTGAACACATGACAAACTGTAAATTTCTTGAAATTCGAATATCTCGGTCTGTGTACGCTATCGGCAGCTCATATTTTTAAT